AAACTAGACTTCCGTTGACTGTCAAAACTCCCTCCACTTGCGCCATTGCCTCCCCCGACCCCGCCATATCATACCCCCACGGACAATAACCAAACTGAACAAGTCGGCTTACTCATCGAGGAAATAAACAACTTCAGTATACCGGATATCAACCCGAATACATCCGACCTTCCTCGGAACGACCTTTCCAATTTTGCTCTCATCGACAATCGACCACCTTCTCCTTTTCTATCCCCATTATCTCATATTTTCTCTCAATATCTCACTCGACAACCCCCGGCGACTTCTTTTCCTATTCGACAAACAACCCCGTTCAACCAACCTCATCCAATGTCAACATCGACAGCATCCGAGATCACCCCCAGAACCAAATTTCTCCAACAACCGAGTGTCTACAAAACTGATGTTGAACCACTTGCGGCCGACGGTTCCAACTTCGACAAATGGAAACAAGGTCTCACTCAAATCATCCTTCTCACTCTTGGACACGCCAACTTCTTCGACAAATCGGACAACTATTCCAAACTTTCAGACCAGGAAAATACCTGCCTCCTATTCCTCATCCAAATCACAATCCACGACGAACTCGCATCCCTTGTCGATCAATACACCAAGGGCACCGAAGCTTATGATGCCATACAGACCAATTTTCAAGGGACGCTTCGTTTTTGTCAAATGGAACTCGTCGACAAATTACTCGAACTGCGAGTTTCCGGTCCATCCACCGAGCCCGCTCAAATCCCCAGCCTTTTCAACAAGATATTTGAGACGTTCAGCAGTCTACACAAGGTTGGTGCGGGCCTGCCACCCCTCGTCAAAAGTCTCATTCTTCAAGCGGTTGTTCCTGCGCCCTTGTCAATGTCTAGATCTCAACTTTTTCAAAACATATCTCTCCAACTTGGCAAGAAACCAGATGTCACAGCTCGCGACATTCAAACTATCATTACATCCGCTTATGGCGAATCCCTTCGCTTCGACTCATCACCATCGCCAAATGTATCCGTCTTCCGAACCTGGCCCAACCAAAATCAATGGGCGACCTCAAACCAAAATCTGATCCGACCTCCTCGTCAAAATCCTTTTCAACAAAATCAAACAGGGTCACAACCTCTAACATTGGCAACCAACAACAATCGTCAACCCAATGTGGGCAGACCTGGCCACCCAACCATCAAGGACATCGCCGCGGCGATCAACAACATTCGGAAGGGCAACAGAGGCCCTAGCGACCCCAACATATTCATTGGCAAGCCATGCTCATATTGCGGTGTGTCAGGACACTGGAGATCGTCTTGTCCGACACTCCGCAGAGATGCCAATCTGCCTCCTCCCGACACATCAACAACTAGTCGCCCCGCTTCCGGTTTCGCCCGCCAGACAGCACCCCCGAACGACCCAGCCATTGGCACGAATTCTAATGCAGCAGTTAGATCGACGGTGGCCGCGGATGCGACGGGTGCTGGAGGCGCAGGCACGGTTTTGGATTCTGCGGCTACCCACCACATGAGCGGATCTTTCCATCTTTTTTCTAAACTTTCTTGTCTCCGTCCACCACTCAAACTCAATCTCGCTTCCTCTGATGGCTCCATGACCGCAACACACAGTGGTCACCTGAAGATAACCAATGGGGTTGGTTCCCTAATGATCCCGCGAGTCCTGTACAGCCCGGAAATGACGGGAACAATTCTTAGTCTAGGACAGCTAATCGATTCAGGCTTCAAACCTTCCTTCCTACCGAACAATGACATTCTTTTAACGTCCTCTTTCATTTCTGTCGTTGCTCAATACATTAACCGTTCCTGGCTCATCTTCCCCGCGTCTTGGCACCACATATCCAACTCCATCAAATCGGCTTCTGCTAATTCTCCACCTCAGATCTCTTCCCCTTCCTACACATCATCCCTGACATGATTTCCCAGATGGGAAATCTTGTATATTTTAGGGAAATCCTGTAAAAAAAATAAAGATTTTTCCAGATTTTTTAGATTTTTTAGATTTTTTTTATTTTTCTAGATTTTCTTAGATTTCTCTAGATTTTTTAGATTTTTCCAGATCTTTTAGATTTTTCCAGTTTTTTTTATAAGAGACATCTAATATAAGTTGAAAAAAATTAAAAAGTCCAAACAATCTGAAAAAATCTGAAAAATCTGGAAAAATTAGAAAAATCTTAAAAAATTGGAAAATCTAAAAAATCTGAAAAAATCCCAAAATTTGGGAAAAATCTAAAACATTTAGAAAAATCTAAAAAATCTAGAAAAATCTGAAAAATCTGGAAAAATCTAAAAAATCTAAAAAAATCTGGAAACATCTAAAAAATCCGGAAAAATCTAGAAAAATCTAAAAAATTCAGAAAAATCTTTAATTTTTTACAGGATTTCCCTAAAATTTACAAGATTTCCCATCCGGGAAATCATGTCAGGGATGATGTGCTACGACTGGCATTGCCGTCTGGGACACGTCTCCGACTCTGTCGTAACGGATTTCCTCAAGTGTTTCGTTCCCAATTTTAACATCAAACAATGGACACCTTTTATATGTGAATCTTGCAAGTCTTCCAGAAGCGAACGTCACCGCCATTCACTTCCCGAAGTTATTCCCAAGGACAAACGCCTCGACCTCTTGGTGACAGACATACTTGGACCGTTGGACCCAGGCATCAAAGGCAACCGCTTCCTCCTTACCATCCGAGATCATGCCACTACATATTCTTTTGTTTTCCCTATGAAATCGCGATCCGAGGTCCCTGGAATTATCATCTCGCTTGTCAAACGCATCACTTCTCATTTCCAATGTTCGCCAAAATTCATCCGATGTGACAACGCGAAGGAATATACTGTGAAGACCTTACACGACTACCTGGCATCCGTTGGCTGCAAGATCATATTCACCTCTCCTTATACTCCTGAACAAAACGGCGAAGCCGAACGACTCAACCGGAATATTGGCGACATTGCCCGCACTACACTCACTCATTCTCACCTGCCGTCATCTCTATGGTCTTATGCTTATAAATGCGCTTGCTTCCTGACAAACCGCCTATCTAATACTCGATGCAACACCACCCCTCTCGAATTATGGTCCAACCGTGAGCCGAATGTTGCTTCATTTTACCCATTTGGTTCAAGGGCAACCATCCACATCCCAAAGGAACGGCGTCGGAAGCTGGAACAGCGGTGTAAGACTCAAAAAGTGATTGTAAGATCCTTTTTGCTGAATGGAGAAAGGGATGAAATGAGCTGCAAACTCTGCCTTTCTATATTATCAGAAAACAAGACCACCAAGGTAAGCTTGGCAGTTTGGTTGGTGATAATGGATTATGTTCAAAGATGGTTGTATAATTGTTGAAGGTTGATCTCGTTGTCCAAAGAATTGATTGAGTTGGTGATGTTGTTTCTCGTCTTGATGTCTTGATGCTTGTGTTCTTCCTTAATGCTGTATATGTAATAGAGGTGGTTCTTGAACCCAAAGGGACTGGGAGCACTATGCTTTAACCAGGACTGGAACAAAGGACTGGTTCTTCTGTGTAATGTTTGTGAAACTGTGTATATATTTCAACTGTGAACTGTACTACTTGTGAACCTCTTGTGTAATAAATATCTGTGACAGGTGTCCCACCAAAAATGTGTACTGAGTGGGATGAGGAGGGAAACAACTGGCAGGCAGAGGCCTCCTTATATAGTAAATTATGAGGGATTTTAGCCCCAAGGGACCCCCTGTATGAGGCATTTTAGCTGACCTGTCCTTGAAAATCCTGAGGGATTTTGGCTAGACTATCTACAACGCATTCCTTTTATATGTAAGCTGTAAGAAAGGAATTCATGTGTTCTGTGGCTGAATAAATGGGAATTTAACTGGTACAACTGGTGGCCAACTTGTGGTTCTGTAAGTATAAAAGGAATTCAATATGGATAAAAGGAATTCAATATGCAATATGCAATATACCCCCATGCAATATACCCTCCAGCTGAGTGCCTCTGATCCTGTGATTCTCTGTGTGACATCCTTGATTCTGCGTAACTTCTGATCCAGTAGAGATATGAAGGTGGTTCCAGTGAGTGACTAGGGGTTAAATTGGCCGTAGATTCCATTTCTGACCTCCATTTGTCCATATCTTGAGTCCTTCATTGATAAATAATAAAATTTTGAATGTTTCTCCCTTCATACACAGGAACAATGACCACATCCTCCCCCAACTTATTGACTGTCCCCAGTCAATTCTGATTTATGACTGTGTTTGAAGGCTAAACCTTGTGTATTTTATACAGTAGAATCTCAATTTAGATGATATAATTATAATAATAACTCTGATAATTTTTATGTTTATTTTATTTTAGTGGCTAATTTTAATTGAGACTGGGAATTGAACAGAGGAGCCTTCTTATTTCTCAAAAATTTACTCCTTGGGTGAGAATTGAACCCAGTATGTGTTGTGTATAAAATTTGTTCAAGGATGGGAGTGGAACCCATGTCTCTGATGTTGATTTGTGTGGGGTGTTTTGGGGTTTTGCCTAGTTGGGGACTTGAACTGGGGTCCGGTTGGTTGACTCCAAATTTGGAGTTTTTGAGGTGACAGTTGACCTTGCGCCTTTCACAGAAATTTTCACAGCCTTTGGTTCGAGTTGCTGCGCGCGCAGTAGTCCTGAAAGCCGCGCTGTCCGCTCCCAATTGGTTTTTCTAGTCTTTCTCCGTCTCGGAGCCCTTTCACGGACCTTTCACCTTTTTCAACTATATCCCAGACTATCTGCACCGGCCCGGTAGCGGATATCCCTCCTTCAACTCCTCTCTTCTCTCTACTCTCTTCCCCACCTCGACTATCCGCCTATCCACCAATATTCTCGACGATCTCCCCGACGATCTCCTCGGCAATCTTCTCGGCTATGGGATCCTCAAATTAGTGAGTCTTAATTCTCTGCTCTCATTTTTCCCCGCGCTAACAATATTGATTTTGTCTCCTGGAGATTCCTTTATGAGCTTGCCGCGCTGCCATCCTCGTCACTGGTCCCAGCCTCTTCGATCGTCCGGTCTTCGACGATCTTCTCATCTTCGTCGCTCTCGACCCGGTAGTATGTAGTCTAAAAAACCATCGGCCCTCGTGTGTTGTTCTCCAGTCTCTCTTCCCATCCATTGCCAAACGGAGCCTGTCAATCCTTCTTCATCGTCGCCGGTTCCGACCCGGTAGTATATTCTCCCAAGAACGTTCCCATCGATCCGGCCCCATCCCTTTCCTGGTCCAATCCTGCTATCCACCTCTGTCCCAACTTCTCGACGATCTTCTTGCCTTCGCCGGCCCGGTAGTGTACAGTCTAAAAAACTCATCCCGCGCTCAACCCACTTCATCGCCGATCAATCTATCCTCGCTACTTGCCCCTCTGATTCACCAATATCCGCGCCAAAAGCGTAACCGAAATCAATCCCCCGCTTTAACCCGCGTATTCGCCGCAAGTGAACCTCTTTGATCCTGAACATTCATCGCCGATCCGATTACATCTAGGCTCAAGCATCATCCTAGCCTATAATCTTATCCAAGTTTAAGTATGTTATCTTTCTTCCTTCTACAACGTGTCCGGAGTCGCTTTACTGATCGCTAGCACTCATCCATCATCGATTGACCATCTTAAAGGAATTCAGATTGATTGGATTTGTTTATATGCAGTTTTCTGTTTCTTCCTCGGGGGGGTCAATGGGGTCCCCCGGAAAAACGATTCGACTTCGACTCTTCCCCTCACCAACCCCCTGCCTATATAAAGGACTCGTCCTTCGCTTCAGTCTCCTCTTCCCCCAACTCCATCATCACTTCTCCCCTTCCTTCTCAACTATCCCCTTCATCAGTTCTCGCCTTCGCTTCCTGTACAGACTTCACCCCTTGTTGATAGAACTAAACCCCAAAACCGGTTTTGTATGTTGATTTCCAATACTAGTTTAAGTAATCATGGCTGTTGTGTTATTGTCCGATCCGGTTTTAGACGTTAAAGGACCGATCCTGGTATACTCTCTTTGATCTCTTCGATAGATCGATAGATTGATCATCTTAACTGCCTCATCGCTGGTTTTGAGTGATGCCAGACCATTATTGTTTGTTGATAAAAGAATCCAGTCGCTTTCTTGTGATGCTTGATAATCCAAAGGTAAGGTTTCTTGCTCGTTCCAAACTGTAGGGTCGATCTGGTCGCTTGTTTTGTGCTGGTATTGATTCAAAACGAGTAAATTAAGTCGCTTCTTCCCCCCATCCTCAAATGATGTTGTAGTCGAATAAAAACTTGTATATAAGGAATTGAAAGAAATCCTTTGATCCTTATCCAACTGAATTTTTAAGCAATCATTCATGTGTCTAGTCCTCCTAAACTGGCCTTAACTGAAAAATTCCAGCAAGGCTTATCTAGAAATATCTTGATATAAGAGTTGCAGAGTAAAAAAAAATTAAATTTGAAATTTGATAATGGAAAGACAAAGAAACCCCCTCCCCCAACTTAAATGGTTGTCCTCAACCATTCCTGAACAGAAAAAAATTAAGAAACTTATTTCAAAATTGAGTTCATAAGAAATGAATCTCCTCCCCCAACTTATCAAAAAAGAGTGTGAAACTGATATGTTTTTTTTTTTTGTCTTTAATGAGTTATGCTTGAATTTTTTTTTTTTTTTTTTTTTATTATTGATGTTAGTTTTATTTTATCTGTTATGTTACCAGATGTACCTGTTTCTATCTATATCTGGTGGAACTGATTCTGGTAAAATATGAAATTGATCTTCTGAAGTAGGGAAATTTTGCTCTGGAAGAGCTTGGGTCAAGATAATTGAGCTGATTGGCTGAAAATATGTGATAGAACTTGAATCAAAAATAGAAGAATTATCCCATCCCTCTCCTTCCTTTTCCACATAGCCCAAATTCTTGAGATCTGAGTTTTCAAGAGGAG